CTTTATTGCGATATTCACTTTATTGCAGTGGTCTGGAACCGGACCCGCAATATCTCTGAGGTATGCCTGTATAGATAAATTACTATGATGCAACTGTTACATATGCATGGTTCTGTAGCAATATAAATGTACCAGAAACACTTGTATTTTAACCCCAATTAATGCAGCATCAAGTTAAGAAAATTTAGTCAACTAAAACATCACAAGATCATAAAGACATAACTCCTCAATCGTAACAGCTAATGTGTGGTTTTGAGCAGCAACTTCTTTTAGAACAACCAAAAAAAGGTGAAATTACACATTAGAATTAAAACATTTTAAGCGCACTTAAAACTTGAATGATTGCACATTAAGGTTTGTTGACAAGTGCTAAGTACCCTCTAGGTATCCAAGTTATGCTACTACAGGCAAGGATCATCTTTGAGCTGTGCTACCTAGCTCAGGTTAACTCCTGGGTGCTCATCTAAGAAAAAAACACCCATTACAGTCCTCCAGTATCAACCAGGACTCTATGGCCCTCTACTGACAGCTGGGAATTGGGGGCCTGGGATGAGTGAGGAGGGAGGGAAAGGAACAAAGGGGGCCAGGGGGACCAAGGGGAAGGGGGCAGGATTGGAGAGGGGAAGAGGAACGAGTGAGGGGGAAGGGGATGGGTGGGGAGCTGCTGGATTGCCACCCTCTTTGTCTCCTAAACTGACCCCTGGATCTCCAGACCAGACCCTGGATCTCCAGGATCACCAGACCCTGCCATCCCAACCAACTCATCTATCCCCCTATCAAAGCTCTCGACCCCTGGATCACTGCCCTGCCACCTCAATCAGCCTGGGAGTGGAGGAAGTAGAAGTGATGGGGCGTTGCTCTTATCTGCTTCTGGGGTCCCTGCAGATCTCTCTGACCCTGCACACCCAGATTCAGTCCCCACCAGGCCCTGCAACTGAAGGAGGGACCTGGGGACAACGGGCAAAGAGATGCTGAGCAGCTGCAGGGCCTGACAGGGGCTACACTCAGGTGTACAGGGCGACATAGGCTGCAGGGAACCCACAAGCAGGCAGGGAGGCAGCAGCCACCCCACTCCGCTGTCACTACTCTCAGGCCAATTGATTGGGGTGGCAGGGCAGTTATCCTAAGGGTGGAGGCGCTGATCAGGAGGTAAAGGCAGAGGGGAGGGATATCTGAGGGCTGATGGGGACAGAGGAGGAAATCCAAGTGGCACAGGGATTCCCTGCATCCTCCCCAGCCTCCCTTTAGCTGGAGAGCTGGTAAGCAGGACAGGTATGGAGTAGACTCGCAGCCCCTAGCCACACCCCTGCTTGCCAGTCCTCTAGTAGCAAGTCTGTTCAGTGCATATTAGAGAGCATTAACCCCAAATGTGTGACTGATCATTAACATTTTATTTAGCTTTAACACAGACTGACATTAGCACCTGCTAACTCTAAAATGTAATCTAACCCTATGATATAAAAGATAAACCTGAGCTAAGTTTCTTAAGACCACATTCAATTTCACTGTTTGGCAATGTCAATGTTACCATTTTGTTGCAGAAATTTGGTGCTTTTATTTAATGCCATTACATTTGTAGTATCCCCCTTCTTTGATGCTGTGATAAATGTATTTACTTGATAGGTACTTGAACATATTTTCATGAGATGGATTATGTCTGGAGATTGTTTAGGGAGGAAGCTTTTAACTGCAATACCAGTTGTATATGCTGATATCTGAAAAATCAAGCCATTTATTTAGGTATCTTGACTATGTATTTATGTGGGTACTTCTAAAAACCCAGTTTTAGAAATGTGACATGAGAAATAATTTAAAATACTAGGGAGTTACTTTTACTTTTCTAATTATGTTTCTAACTATAAACCACATTTAGACACATATTAATTTAAGTTAGTTTATTTAAAGCAGTTTTGAAGAGGCCTTGGAAGATTTAAGAACCAACCAGCAAAGAGAAAATGGCATCCAGTATAGAAAGAAGCTGCAGGCTGCAAGCCAATATAACAAAACAAATCAAAATAATGGAATCATTAGCACAACTGCTTGCAGAACCTGCCAAGAAACTAAGTGAAACTGCTAAATGAACATTTTCTACAGTATATCTTGATCCTGTAATAAACAGCCACATCCTGTGTGTGGCCTTGTTTGCTGACCCTTAATATTGGCAGAGATAATCAAGAAAAACAGAAGAGCTAGCTGAACAAAGACTTCAAGAAGATACTTTACACTGAAACGACTTTATTTTACAAGTACTGAGTATTTTATTAAATGTGTGCATCGGGGGGTAGGTGCTGTATGGCCCAGGCCCTGTCTGACCTGGCCCCTTCCTGGTAAATGGCATCAGGATGGGGAGGGGTCAGTCCTATCCCCCAGCTGCTCTCTGGTGTTATTTCTTTTTCTCACCTGCCATGACTTTGATATTCTTTCAGATAAGGAGCTGGTTTCACTGGGTGATAAGTCCAGGCTTGTTACAGAAATTTCTTTGTGGAGCTCTGCCATCCCTTCACACCACTCTAAGCACTTCCTAGATGTTATCCAGTTTTTTTCTTGGAGTCATAACCTTAGGGGCAAATTGGGCAATCCTTCCCTGCAGTGATCCCAGGCAGGCCCTTCTGGTGAGTTCATTAGAAGTCCTCCTGTGACTTAAATCTACATGGTTCGTCATGCTCTCAGGGTTCATCCCCCTCTATAAAGCGATTAAGAGTCTCAAGGATAAATTAACTCTGACCAAACCATTTAATTCTTTCATAGTCTCGGAGAGCACATAGACTGAGGTCCCTTCATTTCTTCAGGGTTCTTCACCCTCTATCAAATGATTAACAATCTCCACGGTAAAGCAACTCAAAATGCTTCCATTAATTCATGTACAGTCTGCCAAGATGTGTCGACCAAAAATCAATTCATGTGTTCAGGGTTCATCCCCCACCCCATCGATTAACTAACAGTCTCTAAAGTAAATCAATTTGCTGCGCTTGATGCAAGGCTGGCTCCACTGCCCCAGCTCACAATAGGCTTGGGCTCCCATGCCTCACACCACCTGGCTCCTCTTCAGCCCAAGCTCTGCTTCTTACTCAGGAAAGCCATACCAGTGTTCTGCCCAAGGATACCTGAGTTCATCGGTGGTCTTCAAACCACACGTGCTTGCTGCCTTGAGTGCTTTCACCCACCGCTCACTACAGACCACTGTAAGCAGGACAGTCCTCTGGCATCATCTCTCCACAGATGCTGCAGTTTCTCCCAGCTGCCACTTTCCAGAGCCAGAAGTACCGCTTTGAACTTCCCGCCTGCCAATCCAGATGTAGCACTCGCTCCAGAAGCACCGTGCAGTGCTCCGAGCCCCAGCTATGTTCCCCCTCCCACCTGGGGTAAGTGAAGGATGATTATCATCCCTGGGTTTTCCTTCATCTCCGAGGCCTGTCCTCTTACAATGTGTAAAACAAACAATGTTATCAAATGAATAATATGTTCAATTATAGCAGTAGAAAATTTCCATCACTAGAAATGATTCTGGGAGAGGAAGCCGTATGGACATTCATTCTGCAACAACTCGCTCTCCCCTCCTGCTTGTGCTTTCCCAAGACTGGGGTGATCCCAGTCTGGCAAAAACGTGGACTGCTCTAGTGTGCTGGTTCCCAGGGGCACTTGTGCAGTGGGGTGAACCTTTCTGCCCATTTCTTAGGTTGGGGATTCCAATGCAAGAATCAGGGAGGGAGCTCATGGCACCACTCCTCATGCTCAGTTCCCTGTGTCCAGAAGCCAAGCAGAAGAAGCAAAAGGACAAAGCCACCTGCCTGCTCAGACTCCAAACTGAGAAACAGGCAGGGAGAAGATGGTAGCTGTTCCTCCTCTTCCTTCCAAATCTATAGGAGGGTTGGAAGTAGCTACCTCTCATACCTTCTCCAGATTGGGAAGATAATGATCTCTGGAAGGCATGGGATTTCAGAATATAGGGTTATTTAGCAAAGGTATCTCTAGTAAAACATTTAGTGTTATAAAATCTGGCATTTTTTTTTTTAAATGAGAGCTTGGCATGATGAATGAACCCTCCAGAAAGTTACACACCCTTTTTTTTTTTTTTTTAAGTTCCATCCTTATTTTTCATCAGTTAGACCTGTCTTTTGACTGACCTCTTTAATTTTTTTAAATTTTTTTGTCTTTGGATTGTATTTTAGTTAGCATCTAAAGATCTTGTCTTTACATAGTGTTCTATCTACTTTCTACTTCACTGACTTTCCTCAATGTTATTTTTGTGCTGGATCGTTATTTTATTTTTATTTCTTGTTAAAAGACTTTGTGTCTTAATATTGCTCTTTCACCTATACAGCAATTAGGATACATGTAATCCAAATAGTTACAAATAGTGATTTCAAAAGTCATTATTCACAAAATTTTCCAATAAGACCATAAAATGGTGTTTGTAAAAGCATACCTCTCCTCTTTCTCCATTCAGTCCTTTTGTTCCCTGTAGAAAGCAATAGAGAAAATTATGAATACAACAAGATGAATCAAGTTGATAAATATGGTCTTTGCTACTTCAGACATCTTCTCTCACCTTTTAGACTCGCTACGCAATAAATAAACCTGATTCTTTTCTCTGCTCTGTAGTATTTCTTAATAGGCAAAATATTTTCATTGTGTTGCATTAAATATCCTATCAAATTTTTAAAATAGTTACACACACACAGACATAAATACATAGGAACTTTTAGTAAGTGCAGTTTTATTTCTAGATATTAATGAGTTACAATATTGATGCGAGTTACCTTTGAAAGGAACAAAAATGAAATGCAGTTTTCTTGAAACTATTTCTTTTAATGATACCTGATAACCTGGAGTTCCTGATCTTCCTTTTTCTCCTTTTTGTCCCTTCAAAAAAGAAATATAATTTTTTAAAAATATATGTAGTCAAGGCATGGTGCCCAACCAAAATCCCATCTATCAGTGGAATCAAACAAAACCCCGCATCACCATTCCTGAGAGGGTTGGACTGAATGACCTTCTGAGGTCCCTTCCGACCCTAATTTTCTATGATTCTATGAATCCACTTCAAGGTGTAAATATAAGAATTTGTATTATAACCCCTAATCTGCAACCTGAATATTGAGAACACTGATCTCCATCTCTTCTATTTACTTCAGTGGTTTTCAAGTAGCTTTCAGTCTGAAAGTCATCATATTTATATTACAGAAATACAGCTTCAGAGTTGAAATTTAAAAACATTATTCTCACTGCTGTTATGGGATGATTTATTAAGTTAAATCTACATTCTGCCATCTGTGTATTCAAGCAAAAATTCCATTTATTTTAATTTTTAAAACTAACACTTCAAATTAATTCAGTACTTGATTTATTAGTAAATAAATATATCACAATCATTTTGGATGTAAAACAAAGTTAATATACCTGGATACCTCTTTCGCCCTGGCTTCCCTTGCTCCCCTGTAAATATTAGAAGGTATTATAACGTGTCCACTGTCAAGCAGTCCATTTTCAAAATATTCATTTTAATTTTATTCCGTAAATACAAGACAAGTTGCAAATGATCCATATTAGTAATGAACAACCTCAAATTATTTATAGGTATACAAACACTAAAAAGCAATAAAGCACAGAGGAAATTTTTTGTGCAGATAACTCTCAATAAGGACAGCAATTTTGATATGTCTAATTAAAGAGGATGCGTTCAGTTTGTCACTGGGAGTTAAGCCACTGTTTGCACATAATTTAAATAAAGCACCATATGTTTTCCTGTTTTGTTTCCAGAGGACAAAATTTGTTGTCATTGTAACCAAACACAATTCCAAGTCAATAGTAGGTTGCCTGATTTCCCCCACTGTGAACAAAGCAGAACCCTTGAAGTTAATTATATCAGGCTCATTATCCCTTAACAGTTCATCTACTGTCAAATCTTGAATGAGTTTAATTGCATCACTGAGTGCAGACTTGTCCAACTGGCAGCCCACAAGTAATTAACCTGTGCGCTCTGACTTGAATGCCCTCCTCACATTGCTGCTGCTGCTGCTGCTGAGATCTCTGGCCTCCAGCTCTCTCCTCCAGCTTCCACTTTCTGCTCCTGCCACTAGCAGGACTGGGAGCCTTCTGTACAGCCCATAGATTCATGGCCTATGCAGTTTGTGACCCACAGCCACTAAGAATTTGGACACCTCTAACTTAATTTCAGTAAACTGTTTTCTAAATGCTTTCACTTTGCATCATTTGACTAGATTTTACATGGTTAGTTGCAGTGCATCACTAATTATAATTTGTTAGATTTCTTCATTTTGTTTCAAGCTAAGGATCCAGAAACTGAGGCACAGACCATAATTTTTACAATGTATTAATGAAAATTTAAATACGAGTCTTGAAGAACTACACCGCAAATAGTTTAATTCTGCCATGACCGGTGTCACAAGACTGAAGGCTCAATCTCAAGCAGAGCTAAGAATGTAAAAGAATTAGATTTTCTTATTGGAAGACAAGTTAATGAGAACACAACAAATAATTTCCTATTCTATTTAATTTACTTACAACACAGACAATTGCTGGTTAACAGCTAGAATGGTCACTTAACCCACTTCTGTGGGCTTGTTTCTGAAAGACTTTCTTTCACAGAAAGGGTTTATTATAGAATTTCTTGTGAAGTACTTTATATAATAAAAGTTACAGAAACTACTTACCTTTGTACCTGGTGTCCCAGGCATGCCCGAGTACCCTGGTTCACCTGGAATACCTACTCCTCCTTGTTCTCCCTGAGTAATACAATAGCTCCATAAATATCACTGATGTGCTGTGTATAAGAACATATACTGCATGTTTTTTCAAAATCATATCTCTTACCTATAATAATCTGAGATTTTATAACACATGATGATTGAAGTGTGCATCATTTTTTCCAAGTCAAATGCAGCCAGAATAATTCAAGTCATGACAATATTCTCTTACTCTTACCTCAGCCATCCAACATCCAGAAAAAATTGTTTTTGATTGCCCTTTACCAAAGGCATTTTAATATTACATTAACAAAGCTACATGTAGTAATGGCAGTTTATTTTTGAACAACTTAACATTAAAATTATGTGGTTTAATATACCCTTGTCTATATTCATTATACAACATTTAAGTATAAAGGACTGGACATTCATTTTTCTTACACTGATTTCTTTGAAAGTACTTCAACTTTATATTGTTTAGGAAACTTGTGTAATTTCCCTCCTTGGAAATTTTCAATGACAGGCTGGACAGAATTCTGTCTTGGATGTTTGAGATAGGACAAACTCTTGCTCTGTGAAAGGGGTTAGAGTAGATGATCTTCCAGGGTACCATCTATCTGACACAACCATCCTCCCTGTAGATTGTTCCTCCTCTGCCTGACCCAACATATCTTTCCCTTCTGGCTGTCTGTATCTGCCTCTTGGTCAACTTCAGGAAAATAAGTAGAAAGTACTCCAGGTAGTACCTAGACCATGGACTCAAGGTTAGAACACTTTGCTGGGAAGCAAAACCTGCAGGCTCCAACCTGCTCTGAGTAAGCAAGTGCAATTGTACCTCTGTGCTGGGGGTAAAATATGAGAGGTCCACATCTCCCGCACTACCTTTTACTTGTACAAAACACTCACATACTTGGGTGATTCCATTTTCCTCTAGGTGTAAAAAGAATCCAAACTGTAACTGCCAAAAACTGCAGTTACATAGTGACATTAGTGCCACTTAAGCATACAGGTGAAATAGGATTTCATAGTTAGTTTTATAGTTTCTAGGGTCGGAAGGGACCTGAGCAGATCATCTAGTCCGACCCCCTGCCATGGCAGGAAGAGCACTGGGGTCTATCCACCCCAGTAAGGTGGTCATCCAACCTCCTCTTAAAAACACCCAGGGTGGGAGCCTGCACCACCTCACTTGGAAACTGGTTCCAGACCCTAGCCGCCCTGACCGTGAAGTAGCGCCTCCTGATGTCCAACTTAA